TAAGACGTGGAACCAACCCAAATGTCCACATACAGATGAATGGACTGAAAAAGTGTGGCACATACACTCTACAGAATAATATTAAGCCATAGAAAAACAACAAGACCCTGTCATTTGATAGAATGTGGTCGAATATGGAAGATTAATTGCTAAGTGAAGCAAGCCAGGCTATAAAAGAAAGATATTGTATGTATCCACTTTATACTAACTATCCACACTCAATGGTAGAGATTGAAGAATTAGAGGGCATAAAGCAGTGAAAATAAGTTATAGACACTGAAGAGAGTGTGGAACAGGGGTGGGAGAGAGAGGAGGAGAGTATAGAGAAGGAAAGGAGAAGAAAAAATAGAGAGGCATGACATTTGTGGGACCCAGACACAGAAATGGTTTATTACCTGTTGCTGATAACATGTATAGTATTCACAGCTGGACTGGTCTGAGAAATATTTCATGTTAGTTAAATTCTCTTTACAAGCCGAATGATGTATTGTGATTGAATGTTTTAAAAAAATAAGAATAAAATAATAATCATAATCTCAAAAACAAAAACATTTCTCTTGGCAAAAGGCTGCATTTCCTCTATTTAACAGTCTCCTACAGGATCCAGCAGTTGGCGTGGTGGTTAAGGGCACTGGACTTCCACATGGCCATCTGCAGTTCAAATCCTGAAACTGACAGTTTGCTTTCTCTTTCTCTCCCCCTCTCTCAATCTCTCTCTAGTCAAATTAAGTAATAATAATAAATAAAGTTAAATAAAAATAATTCTTAAACACACACACACACAAACTACTATATATACCTGGATAATCTATTTGAGTGACTAGCATTTTGTTAAAGAAGAATCATCAGAGAAGCATGATTGGCAACTGTCCCAGGTCTAGTTGATGAGCATCGAAGACATCATTTGTGAAAATAAAAATTACCCATAAATATTGTCATGTTTACCCTCTAATGCCTTATCTCTTAAATACCTTAAAAGAGTAATATTTAAGTCACCCGAAAATGACAGGGTGCATTCAATTCTATAAATAAGTTTAAAATTCACATGAGGCAGAGGCCGAGACCAATGGACTCGGGCAAATTATCTGCTTTCCTAACAGGGATTCCTCTCATGGCTGGTCCTCTCTAGAATGTATTCCCTAAGTGGCCACGTCCAGATGCCACCGTTCTGCCGTGGAGAGCCTCTGAAACGCTCTAGCTCCCACCTGCCAGCGCGATGCCATGCCCACAGGCCTCATCATGTTTGCAGCAGCTCCAAGTTGTCACTTTTCCCCAATTTGCAGGAGATTTCAATTTGCAATATTTTAGAGAATGGGTGGCCGATCACATAACCCTGTCATGGGAAGATAACATTCCAGTGATTACTCAGTGCTGACATTTTATTATGTAATATTAAAATCCCATCAGAAATCCCTAGACTGATAAGCTAAAAATGAGGTTTGAAAATAAAGCACCTGGCACATCTGATTTGTAGTCATCAAAATGGCATTCTGTCAGATGGGAGCTAATTATCATCCTGACATGATTTTAATCTGCTGCCACTTATGAAATGGGATCTGTTTGCTCTCTAAAGATGATCAGCCTCATGGCTCTCAGCTAGACACCCAATTTCACCTATTCTCACAAGATTCTTCTATTATACAAACTAACAGTAAAGCAATTACATGCTCCAAAAGATTAGGATGAGAAATTTCACATGCACAGACGTATCATGTTCACCTCTTAAAGTGCAAATTCTCACCAGACGGTAAGGTGGCTTTTTTCATTTCACACAAAGCCACCTAATGATCTAAGGAAGTATCCTCTCTGAGAGAAAATTCGTCTCCCCAGTGGGATGCCTGGGCAGCACTCCAAGGCTCCACCCAGAGGCTGCCAAATAAATGGGATACTCTGGAATTCACACACAGCTCTGCAGCCACTTCTCTGGGTGTGGAAAGAGAAGCTCTGGGCAGTTTGAGTTTCCATTTAGGCCCAGGTAATCCTCTTCATACCTGCTGAAACACTCTATTTGGTAGTAAAAAAACAACATGTATCTTTAAATAACTACACTCAATTCAAAGTTTTCAAAATAAACCAACTACATAAAAGGAAAAGTCTTACATTGTTAAGAAAACGAGCCAGAGGAAGAAAGAGAGCACTGTTTTGATGTAATTCTTCTTTGTAGGGTTTCACCGAGAGAGGCAGAACTCTTAGCAGACAAGCAATGAAGTTCTGAGGAAGTTCCTAACAGCAAGGTTTTGCCTCAGGCCTAGTTGTGGAGTAGTGAGCCACACTCAACAATGCTGGGTCCCTGTGGTAAATCAGGGTTCAGTTCCCTGGTCAGCCTATATATGCTGGGTGTGTGCGTGCACACCTATGATCCGGCTGGCTGGGGAGGTTGGGGGGAATATTGCAGTATGGGACCTGTTGAGGGATTTTGCTCTCTCTCACTCACTCTCTCTGTCATGGAAAGAATAAGTGAACTTTCAGGGGAAAAAAAGGAAGAAACACTTTGCCTAGGATCATGTCACGTGTTATGACAACCAGAGCAGCATGTGGAACGTGACGTGCTGGTGAGTCATGGCAGGAGTGAGACTGTTCTCCAGCTACTTGTTTCATTGGCAAAAGCCAAGTTATTTCGGTGACCTGTGTCCAAAGGAGGTGAGGGTCCAGCACGGAGCTGCCTCCTTCCTTCCCAAGCATGACACATACACCCCAGCCACATAGGAGAAAACCGGGCCGTGAGGTGGGGGAGCTCATCCCACCCACCATGGTTCTCACAGGAGAGGAAACTCAACAAAGTAACCTCATGACATATGTAGAATTGGAGGGACTTCTTTATTTCACAGTTTATGAGAAATCTAAAAATGTTACTGTGATAGTTCATGTGTCAACTTGCCTGGGCTGTGGTACCCAGATATTTGATCAAATGCTGGTCTAGATGCCATGGACGTCATTTTTAGATGACAGTACACTTTGGCAAAAGCACATTCCCCTTCGTGATGTGAGTGAGCTTCATTCAGTCAGCTGAAGGCCTTAATAGCAAAGAGGAAAGTTTCCTGAAGGCATTTAGACTCCACATGAAACTTGTGTTTCCAGCCTGCCAGCTTCCCCTACAGATTCTGAACCTGCCAATCCCCACAACTGTATGAGCCAGTTACTTAAAATAACCCCTCCCCATCTCTTCCTCCTGTTTCTCTGGAGAATCCTGACAAACAGCCCCAATGCCCCGTGTTTCAGAGCAGAGAGGAAAGAGGCACTTGGCTAATTGCTTAGAAAATGAGAGAATTGAAAGTCTATGTGAGAAAGGCTCAACATCCTTCAGATGCTTCACTGCATTTCCCTCTAACTCTTTCAATTCATTTGTGAATGTGAGACATGCCTTTTGGAAGTTCTGGAGCTGTGGCAACAGGGGCAGCTGAGTTTGAACCTGGGCTCAGCCCCATACTGGGGTGTAGCCTCAGGCAAGTGACAGAAACCCTAGAGACATTTCAGACCCCAGTGTGACTATGACACTAAAAGGACCAGAGGTGTGAAACACCCAGCCCGAAATCCAGAAAGATGAATGCCCACTCTCTGTCATGCACACGTTCGTCTATCGTGGGCACAAGCACTGCTAATAATACACACTTCCTCCCTCTGCCAAGGGGGGAGAAACATAAAGACAATCAATATCTTAAAGACCATGAAAGTGAGGGACCAGCAGATGAAGTAATGGTGATGTTGCTGGACTTCCACTTAGTTTATTGTGGTTCAAGTCCCAGACCTGGTAGCTTGAAACTCACACAAGGAGCATATACATCCATGTCCAAAATCCCAAGAGGAGAATGGAGGAAAAGGGATTGTGGCGTAGCCAACCCCCTTGGGGTATGATTTTATCACTTTCTGTCTCTCTAGCAAGCACACGTGCCCTATAACAAAAATGTCTCTCTGTTTAAAAAAAACAAAAACAAAAGATCATGAAAGTGATACAGCAGTGACTGCTGACCTCAGCAGAAGGAAAGCTGAGTCAACGCCAGAAGTGGAAGTTTGCCAGGTGACAGGCGTGACAGAAGTGGGCATCCCAGGTACAGGTGCTACCGCTGCAGAGCAAGGGACATGCAAACCAGGACTGGGCAGCCGTGTGGCCAGCCTGGGGCATATGGGGGTCTGCTGTGCCAGGAAGCATTCCAGAGGGCAGAATGGAAACAAGAGAAAAGGACACCCGGAAAGTCTCAGTTCATGCCAGTGGGTCACACAGACACAAATTTCACCTAGTCATCACTCTCACCCCTGGGTATCAAAACTTCTATCATTAGTATAACTCATCTGTGTGGAAAATAAATGGTGGAACTTTTGTATGTTTACTCAAAGTCAGAAGTGTAACTAACTGTTCACAGAGTAAGAATTTGAAAAGATGACACAATTCTGAATGGGTCACACTGTGCTTTTTTATGCACATCAAAATGAAAAAATATAGGGGCCAGCAGGTGGAACAGTGGTTAAGACACTGAATTCCCATTTGGTTGACCACAGCTCAAGTCCTGAACCCGGCAGCTTGAAAATCATGCCAGGTACATTTGCAGGCATGCCCCAAATCCTGACAGAATGGAGGAAAAGGGATTGTGGCATGGTCATCCCCTCTGGGGGTGATTTCTGTCTCTCTCCAGCAAGTGCATGCACCCTATGGCAAAAGCCTTAAAAACAAGATGAAAAAATATATTCTGTTAACTTAAGCGTGCAGTAGTAAAAATTATACAGTAGAAGCTCAAAATTGTTTTAAAAAAAAAGTCTGTTAAAATATTGTTTTTAATCTCTCTCTTGCTTGCTTATATTTTCTAATTTTTCTGCGATGAATGTGAATTGCTCATGAAAAGGGGAAGGATATTTTAAAACCTTGAAAAGACTAAGTCTAAAGAGAATCTGCTCACAAATAAGTGGAATTTGTTTCTACTTACTAATATACAGCATCTGCTCAGATGCAAAAACTAACAGTCTTTTGCAATCAGAGAAAGAAGCTTTGGTGTAAGGGCACCACAAACCTGGGTCACAGAGGCATTTGTAGCTGGTGCCCACGCTGCGGCACGTGCCATGAGCACATGGGCTGAGGGCACAGAAGTCAACCAGCTGGGCACATGTGGGCCCTGTGAAGCCCGGGCTGCAGCTGCAGGTGAAATGCACCCCATCCACATAGCAGGTACCGTTGTTCTGACACGGCGCTGAGGCACACGGGTCCACTTTTTCTTCGCAAGCAGATCCAAAGTAGCCTGCAAGAAAATGCGCAGGGGCTTAAAAAGGATCAAAACATGTTAACTTGTTTCTGCCCATAAAGTTAAGACTGAATTAGCAGATCTTAACTTTTCTCTACTGTGAACTGATTAACCAGTTCCAGACACATCATGGCCCAATCAGTAAGAGAGTTTTGCTTAGCTCTGGTAACCATGGGTTAAACTGTCAGGCCCACCGGACCAGCTGCAGCTGCAGTGTTGCAGAAATGCAATGCTGAAGCCACAAGGGAACATCAAGTCCCTCCCACCCCCACTCCAAGCCCCGGAGACCCTCCTAGGCACACCAGGCATGAGTGCGCCCTGGCTGGCTGAGGCTAGGCATGGATCGAAGCATGAAGCCCTGCTGGGAGCACTTCCCTTTCTCTCTTCTTCTCATTCTCACTTGGAAGAAATAAATAAGCTTTTAAAAAAAATTAATCCCAGGGTCAGTAGATAATGTGGTGGTTAAGGTGCTGGACTTCCACATGGCTGACTGCAGTTCAAGTCCCAGACCTGGCAGCTTGCTTTCTCACTTTCCCTTTCTCTCTCTCTCTCTCTGGTAAAATTAAAAAATAAATAAAAATAATAAATAAAATTGAATAAATCTTTAAAAATGTTAATCCCTGTGATTGCATTTTGTTGAAATATAAAATATATTACTGCTTAGATGCACATTCATATGCATACATGAGCACCCAAATATGCAGCATGTGTATGTGTGTATTGTATAGAGTCTAGAAAAATGCAAAAATAAATTAATGGAGATTTCCTAAAGGAAGGTGTGATTTGGGTCAGGGTTGGGCTTTCCTCTTGTATTTTGTATGCATTTCAGAACACATTGCTTATTTAGCTTTAACACATAGCAATGGAAAAAATCTACCTCCCATCTTTATCCTTCTGTCCTGAATTCTCTTCTCTACAAACAGCCACTTTAAACAATCGTTTAAATATATACTTTGTAAAAGTTGGTTATCGTAGGCCAGTCAATAGCATGGTGGTTAAGGCAGCTGGACCCCACATGCTGACTATGTGGTCTGAGTCCTGGACCCAGCAGTTTGAAAAACATGCTGGGTATATGCATCATGCCCAAAATCTGAAAATGAGGGAGAAATGGAGGAGAAGGGATTCCAGCATGGTCATCCTCCCTGGTGGGTTCTTTCTCACCCCCTCTCCCTCCTCTCTCTCCCATAAGCACATGTACACTTTAACAAATTTTTAAAACTGGTTATTGTAGTGGATAGAAAAAGTGATATACACACGATATTCAGCAATAAAAATGAACTAAGTACTGACACATACTACTACATGAACGAACTTCAAAAACATCACGCTAAGCAAAAGAAGCCAAATACAAAAGATCCATAGTGTAAAACTCCGTTTTTAAGACGTGTCCAGAAGAAGCAATCCATAGATAGAGAGCGTGAGGGAGTGGTTGTCTGTAGCTGGGGTGGGAAGGGGCCTGGGAGATGGGCATGAAGAGTCTGTTGGGTTGCAAGTGTTCTAAAATTGGACAGTGGGACAGCTCACACTCTACAATTTACCAAAACCATTGAATTGTGCACTTAAAACAGATGAATTGTTTTTCTTTAGAGGCTTTTGCCTTAGGGCATGTGCATTCACCAGAGAGAGAAGAGACAGAGACAGTGAGAGAGAAAGTGAAAAATCACCCCCCAGGGGGGATGGTCATGCCATAATCCCTTCTCCTCCCAGAATCTTGGGCCCACACACACATGCACCCGAAGTGAGTTTCAAGCCACCAGGCCTGAACTCGAACTGCAGTCAATCATATGGGAGTCCAGCAATGTAATCGCTATACCATCTGCTGGACCTGAAACAGACGAATTTGAAGACACATTAACTGTACCCTTAAAATGCACAGACTTTATAATACATCTAATTATAAAAAACTATTCACTTTTTTCTCATTTTAAATGTGGTTATTGTGTGTGCAGGCCCTGTAGTGCAGTGGTTAAGGGCTCCATGTCAGGAGCTGGATCCCACATAGCCAATAGTTGAAATCTCAGCTTAAAAATTCACCAGGCACCTGTGCGTGTGTGCTCAGAATCCTGACAAGATGGAGAAATGGAAAGAAAAGGATTACAAGGGCGAGCCGGTGAAGTGGGGTTAGGGCAGCTGGGCTCGCATGTGTGGTTCAAGGCTAAACCTGGCAGCTTTAGAAACACACTGGGCGCGTGTGCATGCATGCTCAAAATCCTGAGAGGAAGGAGGGAGAGCAGAGAGGAACTGCAGCATGAACACACTTCGTTGGGAGGTGCTTGCTCTCTCTCTCTCTCTCTCTCTCTCTCTTTCTTTCTCTCTCTCTCAAGCAGACACATTCTCTGGCAATAAAATAATTCGCTGTCCTTATTGCACAGGAGGCTTTTATTTGTCCTTTTGTGTGTATGACTCAGTAATTCTCAGATTAAAAAATCATACAGTGAAATGCCTGGTAACTGAGGCAGCTGGATCCCACATGGCCAGTTGTGTAGTTTGAGTCCCAGTCCTGGTGGCTTGAAAAACATGCCGGGTGTGTGTGTGTATGAGCCCAAAATCCCAAAAGGAGGGAGAAATGGAAGAGAGGGGATTGCGGTGTGACCACTTCCTCCGAGGGAGTGCTTTCTCATCTTTCTCCTCTCTGTCTCTCTGGCAAGCGAAGGTGCCCTCTGGCAAATTAAAAAAAAAAGACTACATACATTTATCCACATGTCTGTATGTCTGTGTTTCCATGTAAGTATGTGTACTTAATAATGCTTTGGATAAGACTTTTGCTTTTATTGCTACTTTAAAAATGAAATAAATTTTAAATAAGTTTGAAAATGAAATAAATATTACTCAAATTTTCAAAATGAAATTTAAATAATTTTACTCATAAGCAGTTTGTATTCTAATATTTCATTTTACCTTTGTTTTCTCTATTTAAATGAATATTCATCCACCTTCACACAGAACGCGTAGCAATATCGACAATTTTGCTGTTATTGTTAAGGGTGTAGTGAATATATAAAATAAACAAAAATAACTCCCAGGTCTCATTATCTAAAACCAACACTTATGAAAAGGCATAATCCGGGGCCAAATGGTGGCCCAGCACTAACTGTGATGCTCTAAGAAGCAGTCCCTTGTGGAAACGTTCCTGGTTCAAGTCCAGAGACCTCCTCAGGTACAAGCATACAGTTGCCTGTGATCTGGGGTGAGCTGATGGCTGGGGTGGATCTTAGCATCAGAACCTGATGAATCCTCCCTCCTCCCTCCCTCTCTCTCTATTTCTATACCTTATAGAAGAAATAACTAAACAAACAAACAAAGTAACATAATCAACTCAGCATTTCTCTGTATAGAAACAGAAAATTCCCCAAAGGGTCGATGCTATCTAACTTCGGTAAAGTTCCTGGTAGCATTTAAATGTTAGAAATTAAACTAAAAGTGTATCCTAAAATCAGTTTTAATAATACGTGAATTCTCTAAAGAGTCTCCCGGCAGCCTGGACAGAAATATAATTCTATCCTTCGTTAGCTATATTCCATTTAACTCTGGTTGAAAGGAAGATACTTAAACACTTATTAACATCTGACAATACTTTACTATAACTATTTAGCAAGTTACTTCTGCTTTTTTTTCTTTGTTTATTTTATTAATGTCATGAGAGACAGTCAGACCAGCACTCTTAACAGGCTCTCACATCCCCACCCCCACCCCCACCCCCCGAGCCTTCCCCGCCAGCCAGGGGCGCAAGGATGTGCTCACCCA